ACCCCTCCTCAACCCACCAACCTCCCACGCTAACGTCCTCCTCCTCCTCCTCCTCCTCCACTAACCCACCAACCCACCCACGCTGACGTTTTCCTCCGCACCAACCCACCCACGCTAACCTCCTCCTCCTCCTCCTCCTCCTCCTCCACGCTAACATCCTCCCCCACCCACTCTAACTCCTCCACCAACCCACCCACGCTAACGTCCTCCTCCACCCACTCTTACTCTCCACCAACCCACCAACCCACCCACGCTAACGTCCTCCTCAACCAACCCACCAACCCACCCACTCTAACTCGTCCACCAACCCACACACTCAAACCCTCCTCAACCAACCACCAACCACCCACTCTAACTCGTCCACAAAACCCACACACTCAAACCCTCCTCAACCAACCCACACACCCACCCACCCACGCTAACATCTTCCTCCGCCCACCAACCCACCCACGCTAACGTCCTCCCCACCCACTCTAACTCCTCCACCAACCCACCCACGCTACCGTCCTCTTTCCGCCCACCAACCCACCCACTCAAACCCACCAAACCCACCCACGCTAACGTCCTCCTCCTACTCCTCCTCCTCCACGCCCCCAGCGCATGAAGGAGAGCGACGAGTCCCTGCGGCAGCTGGCGGCGGAACGAGACGAGACGGAGCGGGAAAAGTGGAACATCCTGAAGCACGCGCGGGACGAGTCGGAACGCGTCGTCAAGCTCTCGGCCGAACTCGGGGTCAAGGAAACCACCATCAGGAAGCTGCAGGAGGAACTCGATGCGGTAACTGAGGGCGTTTAGGGGTGTGGGGGGAGATGTGGGGGATTTTTTGGAGGAGTAGGGAAATTTGGGAGGAATTCGATGCGGTAACTGAGGGTGTTTAGGGGGGAAATGTGGGGGGTTTTGGAGGAGTAGAAATTAGGAGGAATTCGATGCGGTAACTAAGGGTGTTTAGGGTGTGGGGGAAAACGCGGGGGATTTTTTAAAGGCGTGTTTGGGGTTGTGGGGGGAAACGCGTTTTTTTTTTTTTTTTTTTTTTTGGAGGAGTTATGGAATTTGGGAAGAAATCGATGCGGCAAATGAGAGTGTTAGGGGGGATGTGTTTGGGGGTTGTGGGGATTTTTGGAGGAGTAGGGAAATTTGGGAGGAATTCGATCGGTAACTGAGGGTGTTTAGGGATGTGTTGGGGGTGCGGGGAAACGGAGGGATTTTTAGAGGAGTTGGGAAATTTGGCGACGCGGCAAATGAGGTGTTAGGGGGAGGTGTTTGGGGGGAGGGTAGGGAAATCGGGAAGAACTCGATGCGGTAACTGAGGGTGTTAGGGATTGTATGGGGGTGTGGGAATGTGGGGGATTTTTGGAGGAGTAGGGAAATTGGGAGGAAATCGGGGGATTTTTGGATGATTAGGCTCCAGGAAGAACTAGATGGGGTAACTGGGGGTGTGGGGGAAAGTGTTTAGGGTATGAACTCGTGTTAACTAAGGTTGTGGGGGAATGTTTGGGTATGGGGAAAGCGAGTGGATTTAAGGGGGGATTTGGGGGAATTTCAATTATCTAGGGTTTTCAGTTATTTAGGGGAATCAGTGAGAGTCATATATTTAGGGAAATCGGTGGGGGAAGGCGTCAGATATTTAGGGAATCGTGGGGAATCATATATTTAGGGAAATCGGTGAAAGGGGTCAGACATTTAGGGGAATCTTTAGGGGAGGGGTTTCAGATATTTAGGTAATTTTTCAGATGTTTTTTTTTTTTTTTTCTTTTTGAATCGAGAGCTCCAGGAAGAACTCAATGCGGTGTGGGGGAAAATGTTTAGGAAAAAGGGAGTTTGGGGGAATTTTCAAAAGGGAGATAATTCAGGTGAACTGGGAGGATTTGGGGGAATAAGGAAGATTTATCTTCGGGGGAGGGTTTTCAAATATCTAGGGGAATAAGGATTTTCATGCAGAAGAACTCGACGCGGTATTTACGAGTTTGGGGAAATAATGGGTTGAATCAGCAGGGCGGCGGTCAGGATGTTGAACGAAAATGGGAATGAGGAAGCTGACCGTAGAAGAATGAAATAAAAATACCATTGCGGACATAATGGGGATTTTCTTTTATTTAAGAATTGAAAGAAAGGAAAAATGGAGTAGAATGTCTATTTAAGAATTGAAAGAAAGGAAAAATGTAGAATATTGTTGTATAGATTTCCAGTGATTGAAGAATTCCCCCCCGTGAGAGCAGTTCCAGTCATGGGGACTGAACTACAGCAGTTTTCCCCTTTGCAACTGCAGGTCCGCAAACAGCTCATCTCTATGGGATATCACAGTGATGCCGAGTCTGTCAGGACCAACGGGCTGCCCACGCCCACAGCCTCAACGCCCGCGTGTTCTCCCTTGCCCCTCTCCACGCCCACGCCCACACCCAACGGCCGGGGCTCATCTGCTGATTCAGGCGTGAGGCTGTCGAGCGATAGGGATTCAACAGCTAGTCATGAAGGTATGTGAGACGCCCTTTTTTCGCCGAGTAATGTTTCGGTGGGCGGGGTTCGCGGGGTAAAGGTTTCGTCAGGGAGGGTTCGAAAATGTTTTTTTTTTTTTTTTTTCCCTTTTTAATGTCAGGTTTGTGGAGAGAGAAAGTTTTTTACCAGGGAGGGTTTTAAAAATGTCATTGTTTTTATTTCTTTACATGTTTATGTCAAGATTGTTAAGAGAGATCGTTATATTTTTTTTTTTTTTTTTTTTTTTTGTCAGATTAGAATTAAAATTCTGTTTGTGTTTCAATAATGGTAAAAAGGGGTCATTGTTATAGATCTTTTGACGTGTGGTGTGCAGTGTTCAGCTTCATGTTATGATAGTCTAATATATATGTAATTCGTAGTTAAATAGAAATAGGAGTGTGCTACATAGTAATAAATAGAAATAGGAGTGTGCTACATAGTAATAAATAGAAATAGGAGTGTGTTGCATAGTAATAAGCCAATAGTTTGTCTTTCGGTAATAATCAGAATCTGACATTTGATTAATACACCAATAGAAATACACCTCACTTGTAGTTGTGTAATGATGACAAATTTTCATTCTTCAGACTTAGCATTTGAGCACATTTTTCCATAGAATAGTTAGATGCAAAATTGTAAACCACAGGAAACAGTAATCATCTATTTAGTCTTCACACACTTGTTTGTTATTGTAGGTCTGTACAATTCACTAGTATCTTCATACAGACAATATTTAGAAGCACCACACAGCATACGGATACACAAAAAGAAGTGAAAAATTACCAGAACTTATGATATTGTAAAATCAGCTTGTTTTAAGTTTTATTTTGATTGCCCAAGATTCACAAGAAATCAGATTTTGTCTGAAAAGAACAGAATTTTTTTTTCTCCTGTTGCCTTTCAAATCACAGTAACACCTCCCACGACACAAATCCCTCCTTAATTTTAAAGCAGTTAAACAATTCCAACAAATACCCTAAAACTAGCATTAGATTTAGCAAGATATTGTCATAATCCGTAGGTCTAAAAGGCCATACCATAAATTATTTTGAGTAGAAAGCTTCATGTATTTAACGCCTCTCAATCCATTTTTTATTCACCCAATTATAAACGCCTGATTTTATACACCCGCTTTAAAATAACCAAACAAGTCTGGATATTTTTCCCCTTTTTTTTAAGAATTAACATTAGTCCAGGCCTATGGAGCTCACGCTAGACCTAAGGGGTGCATTTTTTCCCCCGACGAAGCACCCAAAGAGTCTAGCATTTTTTCCCCCCCTTTATTTTCGTCCTTTTTTCCCCCTGCTAACGCAACGGAATCCCTCGGTCCTCTAGGCACACCTACCATTACTGTGGAACGAGGATCTCTGGACTGTGACACGCTATCCATATGCTCCTCCGCTACAGCCGCTTCCCACTACTACTATGCATGTACGTTGCTCCCTAGAATGTTAGTGGCCGCCTCTCTCGCCCGTGGGGGGGGGGGCGGTTGGCCGTGGCACCTTCATTTGGGCGGGCGGGGAGGGAGAGGGCGGTCTTCCGGGGCTCGTCTTCCGTGGCTCTCCCTTGCTCCGTTGGGTTTTTATTTTCTGGCTTGATGGCTACGTGTGGTTTTGAATGAGCGGTTATAAGTTTCAATGTTTTTTTGGGGTGTCTTCGTTCTTGTATTCTTTGTGAATGTGGGTTAATGGGTGATGTTAATTTCTCAGCTGGTGGTTGTTTTTAATCTATCTATTTCTGTCTATTGTTTATTTCATTTTTTAGATTTTGATTTAGACGTGTGATTCACAAAGCTCAGTCAAGACCACAAGTAGTTCAGGGCTTCAGATTGGTTCTTGTTGAAGACATTGCATGACCTTTTAGTGTTATGAGAATAAATCTAATAAAATGCATAAGATGATTAGATCCTTGTAAATCCTTCCAGATCTCATCGTTATTAAGATTTTGATTCTATTCATTGCAGTTTAAAAGAGTGCCTTAATTCTCTTGCTTCCTGGCAATGTTAGATAATGTAAAAGCAAAATTCAGAATTATGAATATGATATATTTCAGCATCAGTGTTTGTGAGTGTTAAGTGGCAAGGGTTTCTGTCCTTTGTGGGGAATCTTCCCTTCTTGGTTTGGCTTGTTTTCTGTCACTTAAGGTAACGAAATGGGAAACTCTTTTCAAATCAGAATCGGGGAAAAGCACTCGACTCAATTCGCACAAACTATGAGAAAATATGCAATAATGTTATCTATAAAAACTTGTCTCCTTCCCTTAGAATTAAGAAAAAAACAATTTAAAAATGTCTTGCATAAGCTACCTTAAACTTGAGACGTTTGAAAGGTCCCTCTGCCCCTTTCTGCAATAATCAAGTAGATTTAGCAAATATTTGTCTACTCTTAACTTATAGAATCCACCTTAGGACTGCTTTTTTGATTCATGAAGTTGGTGTGGTGTGTGTGTGTATAGGTGGACCAGGAACCCCTAAGGAATCCCCGTCTCTATCTCCTCTGTACGCCACGCCAGTATCCCTGCGGGGGGAGGAGCGCGAGGACCGGGGCGGGGACAACACGCCCACCAGCGCTCCGACGCATTCGGCCGCGAGTCTCAATTCGTCGGCGATGAGCGGACTCGCGAGCAGGTGGGTGGACGTGCAGGGGCGTTTCGGGGGGATGGGGAGGGGGAGCGGGTGTTTAAGTGGTTTTGTTGATGTATACGCTGATATAATCATGTTTTTTTATTATTAGGAAGGATGTGAATACCGAGAGGAATGCAAATTTAATCCCTTCGTGTTATCGTTTGATCGTCCTCTCAGTATTCGCAAAGAAACGAAAGACACGTGCAAAGCTAAATCCCTGACGGCGTCCTTGATTTCAGCAATGCCAGCACCGGGGGGCTGAGTCGGTCAGCGGAGCAGCTGTGCGAGCGCTTAGCCGAAGCCGCGGAATCATCCAAGATAAGAGGCTGTAGCACACTCACGAGGAAGGGCCACAAGGGAGGAGGTACTTGGGGCTCCATCTCGAGAGTGTTCGCTCGCCAGAAGAAGCGGGCGGCCCTCGACGCCTCGTTGTATGACGGTAAGGAGACGAAGGATCGATGCTGATGAGGATATTCCTTGATCTCAATAAGTGTTTACAGTGTGGAAATTTCGTCGTTTACAACACGCCATTTTTTTGTACAATGTAATTTGCTTATGATCTGTAGGCATTCATAAATGTAAGTTCAATATTTACTGTAATACCATCTTTTCTGTTGCTTAATTGTAGGCATCTCAAGCTCAGAGGACCTCCCGTCCACAGTGAACCATGCCGATGCCAAGCATCCCTAAATAACATTGCACCTTACTAACATTGTCTTTGTTTTGTCAGAACAGTGTGTTAGTATACAGTGTACTGAATAATACAATTTGTTTTTGTCTATTTTTCCAAGTAGGACTTTGACAAGAGGCAGACCATAAAGCAGTATGCCTTGATATTTTTGTTTTTGACGTATTTCTTGTAAAGTTATTATTTCCTTAATAACAAAAAACGAAATTAGTACAACGTGTGCAAACTAATAACGTAAAGTAAGCCGCACTAACCCAGTCCCAGAGTTCAAGTCGATAGCATTAGAGTAGTTAGGACGTAGCAGACATAACCGCCACGTAGCTAAACCCTTTGTTGCTAACACGACCTGTAGGAAGCGCGAGCGACAAGCGTGCCTCGTGGTCCCCCAGCTCCTCTCTGTGCGCGTCGCCCCTCACCGAGGAGAGTTACTCCGAGAAGCTCAGATTACTCGAGGAGGCTCAGCACATTCCTCTCGAGAGATGGAAAGCCCCGACTGTCCTGGCCTGGCTGGAGGTAACCCTCGGCATGCCTCAGTATGGCGCCATGTGTGCAGAGAATATTCGGAGCGGAAAGGTAATGCCCCGCGGCTTGGCTTCCTCGTCTTTCTGTGCGTAAATATTGTAAATAAGCTACGTTGTTAGAGTATTATAGGTTTTTTTTTAATGAATTTCTGTAGGGATGAGTTCGTATCGGTTGGTAATCCATCTCCCGCCCACCTCCAGGTTCTCCTCGAGCTCAGCGACTCTGAGCTAGAGTCCGGCCTCGGGATCTCGCACCCGATGCACCGCAAGAAGCTCCGGCTAGCCATCGAGGAGCTCCGAGAGCCGCGGCTGACTCGCTTCCCCCGAATCTCCGCACTCAACCACACTTGGGTCTCCTCCGAGTGGCTTCCGGACCTTGGCCTTCCTCAGTATGCCGACGCCTTCGCCAACAACCTCGTGGACGGGAGGCTTCTGGAGGCGCTCACGAAGAAGGAGCTGGAGAAGCACCTGGGCGTTCACCGGAAGTTCCACCAAGCATCCATCATTCACGGTGTCCATCTGTTGAGAATCGTCAGATTCGATAGACAGGTAAAGCGGAAACTAACGAAAACTAATAAAACTTCATCATGTAGGAAAATAATTCACCCCTACTTTTTCTTGAGGACAAAGAGAGAGAGAGAGAGAGAGAATGAGAATAGAACAGGTAAAACAAAATAATATGTATTTGATAAGTAGGTAAGGCGGGGACCATTCACGAAAACTAACCCCATCCTTCACATAGCAAACTAATTCACACCCACAAAAACAAAACATACGTCGAGAACATTGCCTCTCGTCACAAACGCTTAAAACAAAACGGCATATTCTCCCGGCAGGTGTTAGCGGAGCGCCGACGGCAGTCCGAGCACGTGGACTGTGACCCCGTCGTGTGGACCAACGTGCGGTGGGTCCGGTGGGCTCGCTCCGTCGACCTGGCGGAGTACGCAGATAATCTTAAGGGTAAGCTAAATTATTTTTTTTCCTTGCCTTTTTCTTCCGTTATTTCTCTTATTACTCTTATTAATTCTTCGTAATTGCTGGACTATTTGTAGACGTGTAATAGTTACCCGCCAAAAATCGGATCTTGACGTAGAATACATACAATACTAAATGATATTGCAATCAGTGTTTTATCCATCCACCGTATATTTAATACTCCATCCGAACCCACAGACAGCGGTGTTCACGGCGCCCTCGTGGTTCTGGAGTCGTCCTTCACTGCAGACACGATGGCCACGGCGCTGGGCATCCCGCAGTCCAAGAATATCATCCGCAGACACCTGGCAACTGAAATGGAGGCGCTCATTAACCCTGCCAGGTTTGATTCTTTTCTTTGTGCCTTGTGGGAATGTCCTTGCTTTGTAGGGCCTTGTGGATTTGAATGTCTTTGTATTTATTGATTTTTCATGTATGTTATAATCCTAGTTTTTATACTTTATAATTTGGTAAGATTGGAGGTACGTAGATATTCATGCTCAGGCAAACGTAGTGGGTTTAATGAAATTACTGTGGAATTTAGATAAGAAAAACAGACTTTTCCAGCAAATATATAGTTGTCAAATATGATTTTTAAATTGAAGTAAAACCCAAAGGCTGGTTGCAAAGTTGCAAAAATTGGTAGGGCTGACTGTACATTTTGATATCACAAGTAGCTCTGCCGCCACGCACTCCTACTACTTGCTCTAATCATTAAGAAAATGACGTCCAGTGAGAAATTAGAGCAATGGCAGTGGTAGGCAGTTGTGACGTAGGAAATGGCTTATCCATAAGTATACTTTTAAAAAATCGTTTGTCAGAAGTAGAGTCCTCTTGTGAAAGCGGTCTTTTAGTCTTCACAGCTTCAAGCAACCACTTGCAGGTGCATAATGGCGTCTTTACTAACAGCCTCTATTCCCCAACAGACAGCAGATTGAAGAACAGGCCCGGTTCGCCAAGATGGAGCGGCGCCGGCAGGAGAAAATGGCGGCCGGGGGCAGCCTTGGACGGTCCTTCTCCAGAAGCTACGGCACGGGGCTGGAGAAGGGCGAGAAGGACAAGAGGCGCGCTTCCTTGAGAGTAAGGGCACCATGTCTTATTTCCGGGCGATTTTAGGATATGGCTTAATAGTGAGCTTCGATTATTGTTAGAGAGTACCTAACTCTTTAGATTTGTCTTTGACTAATTCATACAGCTGGCAGATAAATCATGTGAAAAAGCATTAAAGGGGATGTTGTAGCTTTTGGAATGCTTTAGTGATTCCAAATATTCCTGAATAACATGAAAATAAATCACATAAATCCCTTCTCACAATATATTCGCTGCCACGTCACATAACCTACAATAGACCATTGTAGACCTGCATGTGAGCCAAATATTTTAGAGTGAGAGAGAAAAATATTCTGATGATTATGGTCCATGACTTAGGAAATTAGTATTAGATTTTGGTAACAGATGCCAACCAATTGGACTTCGGAGAACCTTAGTCTAAGTATAACTGGGTCTGAATTGACACCTGATTACTAATATACATTTTATTCTGCAAACACAATCAGGAGTGGATAGCTGAAGTTAGTAAAACTGGACACCCAGAGTACAAACGTTTCACATCTTTGCACTGGCTTTCATAGGGGCAGTTACTAGCTGTTGAAGCGTCTGGCATTATACTTTGCTCAGACCGAAAATGATTATTGCAATGTGTTTCACTGAATGTGCTCAAAGCTTTGCCAAAAAAGAAAAATTATGATGTATTGGCAGTTTTTAGATTACATTTATGGCTTTACTACTGCCTCTTTGGAAAGCTTTGCTTGTGAATGATTGACTACAACTGTGTACATCTGTTCTCTGCTGGTACACTTACTGTAACACAGCACATAGTGTGGATGCACAAGTTCTCCAAAGAAAATGCAAAATTTGGATAAACAGTTTCACTTTCAAGGGTTTGAATGATGCTTTTATGCAATACCTAAATATGAGACATTTAAATGATTTTACATCGGCTTTTCTTTGCAAAAGTTAGCAGGGCCGTCAATTCTTTTTTGGTGTATAGAATTGCTTTGAAATGTATGTTTGTTGTTGATGTTGAGCTTCCTCAGCTTTCAGCTTTAAATTTTTCATAGGCTTAGCAGTTGCCACCAGATTTTTGTATCCCAAAATTTAAAGCAAATTTACCTAACATATACCTTTACTTGTCTCTAGAATGTTTGAATGTAGCTTTATAACATCAGCTGCTGAACATCCATACCATGCCATGTTAATTTTTTGCTTCTCTTGAACAAGTGTTCCATCTCCACGCATTTTAAGTGGCATTTGTTTACAGTGACACCATTTGTCATTAGTGTGGGCTCTTTCTTTTAGGGAGTAGAGCACATTAAAATACACCAAAACCATATTAGCTGAATCCTTTTAGGAGAAATAGAAAAGAATCAGCCTCACCTTCACTAACTCTCCCATCCTTCTCTTGCCCTTTTTCTGTCCTGCTTCCGTTCTGTGCTGCACTTCGCAACACTGATGGGGGGATGCTCAGCCTTTGCAGAAAAAGGTTTGCGCATTTCCCACACTCCCATCAAAGGTATAAGACGCATGTCGCAGTACTTTTTTTTGTTAAGATTAAGTTGGTTCTTTGATTTCATATGATGCTGGTTACTTCCTACTGCTTGTCTGGTAGATGAGACATATCTCTTGGTAGTGGGTTGATATGAAAGATAAAGAGAAATGAAAGAAAATGCTGTAGTCAGGAAATACTCTTCCTTGCAGAACTGCTGTAATGAAAGCATATTTTCCTGGTACCCTTCTTTGTGCTCTGTACAAACTCTGCAAGGCCTTTGAATAAACTGGTTTGCCGTACATATCTCATACAAGAATGTGATACCCAGCTTCAGTTGCTTGCTGATTACATACAGTTCTTTCAGTGTGAGAAATATATTGAGAAATTCAATGCTAATCTTGAGATATTCTTAATTTCCAAACATAAATTGACTCAGAAAAGTTTTCAAGCTTAGCTGTGCCAGAAACACAGGGACACTTTATTAGACTTCTGGAACTGATTTCATTGCAGGTATATTTTTGTATTTTATGAAAAGACATTAAGTTCATTGGCTGTATGCACTGTTAAAGTCAGAATATGGCATCAATAAAAAGCAGTAGTGGAAGTAACATATTTTGTCTAAATATATTATCATATTATTTTGATTTTTACAAATTCCACGGAATACAAAGTTTTGCAGTTGTTGTAAAACCAAAATTCCTGGTGATATGTACACACACAATTCAAAAACATGGTCACTGATTAAGCCTTATTTCACCTTGTCCCTAAGTTTGGCACTTGGCGGAGCTCACAGGTACTATCCTAGGAGACATCCTACCCCGCCTGCATGTATGTATTCCTTGGCTTATATTTGTTCTTTCTTCTTCACTGCCTGCAACCCTGGTCTTATTTGTGGTCAGAGAATGGACAGACTTGTATATGTATGAATATATTTCATTTATGTTTCATTGTGACCAAGATGTATATGTTAACAGAATTTGCAGAGGCTTTCCTGCCTTTGCAAATGCTAAAAATCTAATTAATGCATCAATTTTCTCCAGTAAAGCTGAAAATATATACTTTTACATAACCCTAATATGGCAGTTGGTTGCAAACAGTATTTTTTTCTTTGGAATATAAATGATATACAAATACTTTCAAGATGCGATTAGATTTTCTTACTTAATCCTAAAGGGAGTAAAATTTATTGGCCACTTTGGTGTAAACCTATGCAGTTAAACATGCATGAAGTATATACTTGCATTTTGCTGCTTATTGCATGCAAAACTTATCTTTTTGTGTAGTCATTGGATGTCAGTGCTATTAGATAGCTTTAAATAGTCATACTGTTCTAAGAAGTTAAATGAAATTCTAAACTAAAGACTTACTATATATACACACTTTTCATTAACTGATGTAGATATATATATATAAGAAAAATTCATAATCTTCCTAAAAAAGTAGATGTTCATTATTTATTTGATATTTGTATTAATTTGTTTTATTATTTCATATTTCTATAAAGAAATAAATGTATACATATGAATGACACCATATTCTTAAAGATATTACCTTTCTGAACAAATACAATTTTTTAAAACTCCCATTTTATATACTCTAGATTTTGCAAGCAATTCCATGCATTGTAGTATAGACCTGACAGACAATGGTCTAGTACCTTTTGTTCTTCCTCTATAGGGTTGTGAACTTAGTTTTATAACTATAATTTTAGTACACTTAAAAAGAATCTTAACCAAGTTTATAGCAAACAGATTGGAATGGTAAGCAAAATGAAAGATTACTCTTTTCTGCAAGTTAAATGTATCTAATCTACTTATTACTTGTATTTATATCAGACAGAGCTCTTTTATACAAGATATGACATATGAGCTGAGAAAATGATAGGGCTGTTATGAGCAATCTATAACCTTAATGTAGTTGGGAATTTATTTTCTTTAGTTTTTTAAGTTCTTGCAGCAAAATTTTCCCCCTTTCATAACCATCTGCTTATGTTAAACCATTAACATACACACAATACCTACAGGGATCTCTCAGCCGTGCTCTGGGCCTTCGTCTGCGAGAGGAAGCTGCCGCAGGAAACCATAATGGAGGAGAATCTTCCTCTTCCGGTGGCCAGTCTCCCGCCGTCTCTGCAAGGACAAACACTCACCATCCTCACCACACACGGCCGCGGTCCTCCGTCATGCCTTCTGCTGCTTATGTGCACCATGAAACTCACCGTCGCGTTAAGAGTATCGGAGACATTGAGACTATAACTGTGACACCTGTTTAGCAATACTCTTGCCAGCGATCACGTGACTGGTTCGCTGAAAGTGGTGGTGGTGGTGGTGGAGGTGGTGGCGGAGTTTGCACATTTCTGTGTTCTCCAGTTTTTAATGTGTTTAATTAAGCACAGTAACCAACTTATCAGGGTGAATAGGATGTAGAAGTGTGAAAAAAGAGAATGTGTGTAACGTAAATTTTAAAAGAGCTTAATAAAGATCTCTTAAGTGTTGAAAGGTTTTTGTGCCAGCATCTTTGGCAGCATAGAAATAAGTGTTGGTAAAGTCTCTTTACTAATGTATATCACATGTACATATGAAGTAGCTGCCAAACCTTATATTCCAAGAAATTACAAGACATGATAAAATGCTCAGCACTGAGTATACTGCCAGTTGATGCAACATCACATAGAAACACAAATTCATATCGAAGATGTTTCTTCTAATTTCATACTAGTCGAGTACAACATTTTCAACAGCCCCAGGGACCACAAGCAAATCGCCTTTTCTTTGTGGTTAGTTGTCAGGCTGAATGTTGAAGAATTGCAATCATGCATGGCGTAACAAGATGCTGATGCAGGACATAGATACAAGTGCACCCCAGAATTTATACCAAAGTTTTGGAAATATGCTGTGCACCCACCTAGTATGAGTAGGGAAATAGCCATAAGAATGTATTAACTAAGTGAGATGGAAAACATAATGGATAGAGAGACACAGATCTGGATGTTCTGCTCAAAAAAATTATCATTAAGTTAAAATGAAATCAGAGACCTGACAAAGAGATTTGAACAAAGACAGGGACCAGGCAAAACTCGCCACAATACAGGGTTCCAGTTCAAACACATCTGAAGTATCAGGACAAAACCATGGTCTTCATTTTGCTACACCAGTCATATTTGTTAGTCCTTATCTATTACGCTCCTGTGAACAACTGTGAGATGGCTCGGATGGAAGCAGTTGTGGTGACAAGACTGCAGTTTCTGGCCCTTGAATAGTAGCAAGAGTTAAGATGAATTTTGTGTACAGCCTATGTATCTTTTGTACTTAAACAGCAATGAGTGTGTATGTACTGCTATGTGAGTTTTATAACTACTTTAATGTCCTATTAATCACTTGGTTGTCGTGTATTTGAATTTTATGTATAGAGGTCCTTAATCTGAGTGTACATTTTTTCTTCGACAACTGAGAGGTCACTGATTAAACAATATTATTTTTTGCTTTAGAGTAGATTGGTAGTTATCAGTATGCTGCTGAGCACAATATTACAGGTTACTTTATGAAAGTTCATATTTATTAGCAATGTATACTGATTGAGCTCGACAGAAATTGCATACTATTTACTGTGTGTGTTATGTCAATAATGAAATTTCTCCTATTGTGAATGTTACTAGTCAGGTTCCATTTAATTGACAAAGGGAAATTGTTCAGCATATGTGACCATGTCAAGAGTTGCATGATCATATAGCATCATATTTATATGATATGGATGTAGATATTTGAATATTTGTATTGAAAATAGTCTTGGCAATTATCCAGATAACATGATGTCACATGCTGAATCTCTAAGCTTCTTGCCAGGAATCAGTTGGTACAAAACAAATATCTATGCTAATGAAAATGCTGTTTTATCCCATTATTAACTAACATTAAAGAAATGCTATATATCAATGACAGGAAGGAAATGCAGCTTTATGGTTTATACTCTATAATTATTGTAAATGTTGATGTGGCCACATATTGTTGACTGTAAGCTTTGCATTTCTATTGGATGCAGCCATTGCTTTACCTACACAAGGTGAAAACTTTGAGAGAAAGTAATATATAATCTAGACAGGAATTTGATCAGAATTCTGCCCTAAAAGTCCTTGACAACGTTTTACTGCTCCAAGAACTTCGCTTAGTTTCAAACTTCTGTAATGACTAAAATTGAAAAGTGAGGTGATGCCAGCATATACAGGTGTAAATACATTCATTAGAGGACATTAAATGGGTTCTTACGTAAACACATTTCAAAAGATTTTCATTTGTGATGATTTTCATGGTTTTCTTTCTCCACTTACTAATGGTGAAAGTACTGAATAAATGTCAAAGTGAATAATGTCGGTGAAAGTATGAATTGCTATTTCTCAGTGTAGAGTTGGTAAGCCTCACCTTTAATTCAACAAAATTGAAAGACCTACTCTTAGTTTAAAGAAGTGCTTTAATGTCATGTCATGTATGGGTGTGTTTTAGAAGGAAATTTTTTCATCAAAGGGAAGAGGGAAGGAGAGAATGACCAGCTGATGTAGGAAACTTCCACAGCAGGCATTGGTTTCTTCTTCGTCTACTTCTTGTGAATAATTTCCCTTCCAAGCAGCCCACGAATGAAACAGAGTGAGAAAATAGCGTTGTCATCCAAAGCAAGTGCATTGTATTTTTATATCATTGTAATTTATGATGGTATGTTGGATTGTAAATACGAGAATGTTGGCAGGGTCGCCATGACCATATGTGTCAGTAAACATAAGCTATTGGATTCATAGAATATGGAGTTTATCAGTGGTCCATTCAAAGAATGTGACAGTAACTTGCATCATGTACAGATAAAGAAGTCATTTTCATCCCTGAGATATATAATCATTTATATGTTAGTGAGAGCTGCATATCATCCACTTGACCAAACCTTTTTTGAACTTATAGTGATAGAAAAGTTGTAAACACTGTAGTTGCATTACAATTTAAATGTTGCTGTACATTCTCTGAACTGAAACCACTGATGAATAACCATTTGCAGAAAAAGTTGGAAAGGCAATTACTAAAAAAAAAAAATTAACCATGATACAGAGTTCAAAGAAATAGCTGTTTATAATGAGTACAGTCTTGTATTTTGCCATAGACAAAATTTGTGAGAAACATAATTTGCTTAAAGTGTAGTGCTTGGAATATGTCTGTGTACAAGCAAAACAAAAAAACAAAACAAAACAAAAAAAGAGCAGCTGTAAAAAGACTGTTTGGAGTTAATATCACATACTACAAAATATAGTAGATCCTTTATCATAGCATTTTTTGAGGAAAAGAAAGAGGAAGTGATTATTATTTTTGCACAAACCATTGTTTTTTTTATCCAGACATTTTGGATTCAGTGTTTCACAAAAGTTCAGAATCAAGAAATGTAATTATATTTTGTGAAATATCCATACAAAATTGACGTGTCCTAAATGTAGTTAGGTATTGTTTCTTTTGTGCATATTATGGGATAACCAACTGATTACCTAACAGCTAGTTCCTCATATCCAAAATGTAATGGAAATATCCACCTTACGTAAATTCACTTAATAAGTTTCCGTGTCTGAAGACCTTCAGTATTCAGAGTCTTTAGTAATGTACACTGAGCTCCGATAAACAATAGGAAATTTGTTTATATTGGCATCGTGATCAATGCCACGTGGATAATTTTTTGTTTGTTTCACTTCCACTTAAAAAGAAGTAAACACTAAATATTGTAAAGCACTAATCTAATCTGCCAAGGATGTAATTTGTTATCAAATGATACTATTTGATATACTAAAAGCTGTACTTGTTTGTTCTGTTTCACACATGAAATCATAGGTCATTGGCATGCCAACTGTTTGACATTCCAGTTTGTTTCATATTCAGAAACAATAAAATATTAGAAGAATTATTATTTTTTTTACCCTGTGTACATTAACTGGTAAAAGAAGAAATTCAGACTACAACAAAACTGCTGATAAAAAGACCTGTGTCAAAGCTATGTATGACTGTTGATTTTTTTTGTAAGATAAAGATATATATTTATTTCCATTTATAGAGACAACAAGCAAAAGTTGCTTCACTAACTAAATGAATCTTTCTGTCTTTCTTTCTCTATCTCTGTTCCTGTCACTTTTTCCTCCCCCCCCTCTCTCTCTCTCTCTCTCTCTCTCTTCTCTCCTAAGTTCCCTCCTCAGAGTCCTCAGGCTTATGTATATTTGGGTTAAGTTTGATACTCTAATCTGTTACTTTCTAATTTAGAATGGAGAGCTAGTATGGAACCCTGGTGATCTTCACATTCCTCAAGCAAAATTCTCTGCACCGTGACATAAAAGGCATGCAGTGATACCAGTGCCTAGACTTATGAGCTATACATAAGAGTTAAAAATACACTACCTGAAATCCAAAAACAAATTCTAAGTATTTATTTTATTTAAATTAGAGAAGCAAAGACAGTAGCCATGGTATAATGAAAGGTATGATGAACTCGAGTGTTACATGGCTGCCTTTATTAACATTCAGGGTGAACTTTATAGACTCTTTGTATATAGTCCAGGAGATATAGTATCTAGAAATATCCTGCACCAAATTTCTAGACTTACAAAACAGAGAAGTCATCAGTGTAATGAATGTTTTTTTCCCATATAGGAAAATCTAGACCGTGTGTAGGTTGTGAGAACATTTATTTCGATTTCACTGCGAAATATCAACAAAATAACGAAGCAAGCTTACTAAATCTACATCACGGTGTACTGACAGTTGAAGTACAATGCCCGGACTGTAAGACATCATGTCCTTACAAAAAAGACAAGACTCCAGTGGGTTTGTGGTGCATGGAAAAGGATTCAGAAAACAAAACGAAGAAAGCAGTGTAACTTTACTGTAAGCGATCGCAAATCCCGCCAACGACGACTTGGAATATCCCGACGATCCCAGTGTCCCGCAGCTTGGCCCGTCTGGAGTTAATGCTTCAGGTAAGATGAGATTGAAACTGTCCCTGAGTCTGGGCTCTCTCCTGCCGGAACATGCGAGGTGAAGATTTTGCAGACCAGGCGGGGGAGGGGGTTGGCAGCCCCCCCTGAAATGGGTATAATGGGGCGAAGCTCCCTATATTTACTGAAAACGTGTCAGATAACTGGTTTGCCCGGGCTCTATCCTGCCGGAACATAATAGGTAAAGATTTTGTAGACCAGGGGGTGGGGGTAGGGGGGCAGAGCCCCCTACATAACCCAGAAATGTGTTAATATACTATGCTTGCTAGTATTCTACCGGTATTCGATATATTCTTAAATATGTAGGCCTATCATACCCTCCCAACTATCGAGGCCAATATCGTAGTTATGCTTCGTTTGCGAAGGAAATGAGTGTTAGATTCGTTCGAAACATGACGAATGCTATTGGAAAATTATTTAATTCACCCAAAAAATGGTGTGGGGTTGCATTTCCAATTTTACCGAAAATTCCATCCTGTCTATTAAGTAGCACAGTTCAAAGATTATTATAATGTTATTGGCCCTGGTCTTGTCATGTGGGTGGGTGCTTCATGCTCAGGGTGATGTGAAGCAATTATGTGGTAGCCCATGTGGTAAGTGTTTGCATACCTTCTCCCTTTTAGCTGCCACCGATAATTACCCTAGTGCTAAATAGGGAGCACGTATGCATAAGCCTACTCCTGCCGGTTCATAGCCTTTCCATCATCAAGACCTGCAGTGCCTCCTCATGGCCACCCATAGAAACTGGGTACCTTGCGGTCCCAGGCTAAATTGGGAGGAACCTTGGAGTAGCAAGTGGTCCTGGAGGTACGGAGTAATGGCCTACCTGCGTGTGGACATACTCTGGCTCTATACCAACCCCAGGGGTTGATGGGCAGCTCAGGGGAGGTGGGCCTTGCTAGTCCTCCCCCAGATACAGACTCACTAGCAGTGTCCTTTATAGATGGAAATGCCGGGGAGAGGGGTACTGTCTATCCCACCCAGCAAGTAAGGCAGGCTGTGGATCCCAGTGGGAGGGCTACTGCAGGGGCGCAGAATGGGAAGGAGAGTTACTCATCCTGCCTGCGCCCTGGCAGCTGCCAACCCAGGGTGAGGCCTGTGAGGCAAATGCCCGAGGTTTAATCTCAGCTAGGCTATCGAGGTAAGAGTTTGGAACATCCAGTCTTTTTTTGGCAGGATGAATGATTACCACTGCTATCAAGGGAAATGAAGCGGTTGAGAGTCGAGGTGGCTACCTTGTCGGAGTTGAGAAAACCTGGCAGTGATAAGATCAGTTTGATGGGTATACCTACTATTGGTCGGGCCAGGGCAATGGTCACCATCTCTAGCCGACGTCAACCTTTGGTAGTAGAGGTTTCTCCGGTTGACAAGCATATTATGGCACTGAGACTGGAGCATGTTTTTGATTTTGTGTCTCCACTTGCTTTGTATGCTCCTACCAGTGTTTGCAAACTCTATGAGAAAGAAGCGTTCTACGACAAACACGTCTGTGGCAGACAAACACCCCTAGCAAGATATTTGCATTGTATACTGGGCGACCTCAATGCGGTATCCGGATCGAAATGGCTACGAGATGTCTGTCAGTCCCTATGGCTCAGAGGCTAATCTCAGAAGCAGGAACAGCCTACTTCTCTGGAAATATGCTAGATCACAGAGATTGAGTATTTCTGGCTGCTGGTATCAGCATTCCAACAGAGGAGAGGAGATCGACCACTTTCTTGTTAGCACTCACTGAAGTTTCCTCCAGAACTGCTAGGTTTACCGGAGTGCCGGGCTCTGTGGTACCGACCATAGATTCATTGTGGTAACCTGCAGGTCCACTTCAAAATCGCCCATGTCTCCAATGGCCACTTCAGGGTGTTTCACTTGGACAGATTGAGGAAGGAGGTATGCACGAAAATTCGCCGCTGCAGTCTCTGATCTGTTTACAGTTCTCTAAAATCTGACAGACCCTGTACCTCTACGGGACTATTTTAAGCATGGGACGCTCAGTGCAGTGCATGAATCCAATGACAAATGCCTGTAGACAAGGTTGAATTATATCTTGCTGGAGAAATGGATACCACAGATGTGTGACGGGTGGCTCAACTGAATGGCAATCGGGATTTGCGCCACTCCTTAGTGCGCAGGGCTCGATCGTTGCTGAAAAAGTATAAGGAACAGTTCATCAGGAATCTTGCTGGGGAGGTTGAAGGCCATCTCCTAGTAAATAACCCTCGTCCTGCCTACCAAGCCCTGAGATAATTGAGCTCCAATTTCTCACAGATAACTGTAGTCCGCTCAGTGAATGGACGGATCTCAAATCATGTTGGGTTAGTAAAGGTATTTTGAGCAACTGTATCAGGTCGACCCTCCAGCATTTAGTTTGGATGCAAGAGGTGTCAGTCCCTGTGCCAGACTCGCCCATCAGTGAGGAATCTCCTACCCTGACTGAGGTAACGGTTAGGGGGGATCTTTAAGCTGAAGAGTGGGAAAGCTGCGGACATACGTGATATATTCATGCTGAACTGCTAAAGTTCGGGGTGAACTCTGGGCTTTTATATTGTCCTGGCTGCTATCTGACAGTCCATTTCCATTCTTCTGGACCTGTTGAGGAGCATGGTCATCCCTCTCTGGAAAGGAAAAGGGAATAACTGGGACTGTAGCAACTACCGTGATATCACACTGCACAATAACCCAGACAAGGTTTTCGCCCATTCCTAAACGGATCCGTGACCACCTACTAAGGCACCAAAGACCGGAGCAGTATGGATTTACTCCTTACAAGGCCATAATAGATTGTATCCAAGAGTTCGGCCATGAGCTACATGCTGCCTACCTTGACCTCGAGATGACGATTGACGGTGCATCGCGAATCGCTATGGGAGATAATAAGACTTAAGGGAATTGTAACAAGGATTGTTGATTTAATATCAAGCCTATATACTGTTACTGAAAGTGCTATAAAGTGTAATGGAGGCTTGCTGAGCTCCTTCCCTGTTAACTCAGGCATGAGGCAAGGCTGTGTCCTTGCACCAACACTTTTCAACACTTGCACTGGATAACGGGCAGAGCTACTATTCAAAGTCACTGGAGCAGTTTCAAGGTTACGGACCTCGACTTTGCCGACAAAGTTGCTAACCCATCTAAGTCTCAAGAATCTCAAGTGGGGGCTCTTGATGGGCCTA